AAGTTTGCAATGAATTGCGAAATATTTATTAGCTGTATTCGAACTTTTCTGCACTATTGGCAAAAAGTTTCCACACATACGTTCATTCCGCACTATTCCAATCATTGATTCATTTGCGGCAGAAAAGTAGTAAACTTAATTTCACTCGATGCAACAAAATAAAAAGGAGAAGGGGCATAAAATGTGTTACCGGGAAACTTGTCTGTTCAATTGCTTTTGAGAAACTTTGCGAGAATGTACGAGTACATAAAGGCAGTTGGATTGGCTGGCGGTCGATTCGCTCATTTCACACTCAATCGCATTTGGGTTTTACATATTCAATTAGAAACGGGACTCCGTATCGATATACTTCTTCCGCTGTCTGCTGCAGGCAAATTGCACCAAAAAGTTGTTCCCCAAGTCCCTAGGATCAATGGTGAAAAAGCAGAAAATGATGTAAACTTCTGGTATTCCCCATGTCATGTGATTAAAGTTGTACAAGTTCTCAAAACAAGCTGAAGGCAAATCCCCTCCCCCTAGAATGCCATTTGCATAGGGATCCAAGTTCTGTGACAATTGTGAAATCCTGCTAAGGGGCAGGGGGTGGCAAACACAGATACGAGTGCCTGCGTGTTGCTTTGTTACTAAACAAAAGTTAAGTCATAAATATTTTCCGAGTTTTTGACTTAAAATTTATCAACGATATCCGCCTTGCAGCCACGCGAAATCCGAACAAAGGACACGCTAGCACACAGGCATAAGTACAAATATATACATAGACCAACACACATAGACACCTAAACTGTTTAACTTTGGTTGGCAAACTTCTCGACATGCAAAAGTGCAAAAATATATTTGAAAAATTTGTCAACTGGGGTTAAAGTTGAACCAGTCCTGCTCAAACTGCTTACCCAGCATGGTTAAATGGAAAAATGGAATTTGGAAAACAAATTACAGCTGGGCATAGCGATGCAAGGTTTTTACCATTTATTAGGGAAGAAAAAATCGATGTTTGGAGTATTCAAATATATTTGGAGAGTCCAAAGAAAAACCTTTTCGAATATGAAACTTAAATTTCTTAAAATAAATTATCCCTTATTGTTCTACCTATTTCTAAAAACTAATTAATAAAAATGTGAAAATGTGGGGCTTAAGCTGAGCAGAGCTTAGACCCTTTTACCAAATTTGTCACCTTAGTACCCGACAACTTGTCAAATTGTTAACCAATTAAGCCCTATCGAAAAGTTAACCTTTTTCTGCTGACGTTTCCTTTGAGACAATACAAAAAACGAAGAAAAAAGTTCAGGCTTTAATTTGTATACCCTAGCAGAGGGTATTAAAATTTAGTCAATGTTTGCAACGCAGTGAAGGACACATTTCAAGCCCTATAAATTATATATATTTTCTTGATTAGCTTCCTTATTTCTTAAAATATATCCATTTACTCCGATATATCGTACTTTTTAGCAATTTCAAAAATACGCTTTTAGTTATGTAATAATCTTATATAGCTGCCATAGGAACAATCGGGAAATAAAATTATAACATCTGCAAGATTATTAAACCTTCGGTTTGCTAAAGCTCGCTTTCTATCTTGTTTCGCTTGATGTTACGAAGATAACGAGTCTTTGAACCTGGGTTCCGAGCCCCAACAGACCCTTATTAATAATAAGCCGTTGACCTTTATCAAAGATGTCCCACAGCACGGAATTAAGTGTAAAGAGCTTCCAGGTGGAAAACAAATGTACTCAAAGGACAGCCATCTGGCAGAGATTTTAATTACGTAAATGCAATAAGCGTACGATGCAATCGCGGCCCAGAGGCAACCACAAAATCAATCAATCTCCCGATCGATCAATAATTCAATTGACCCGGCTGGCTCAAGAAAGTGGCAAATTAATTAAAAAAGCAAAAATCAGCCCAAAAAGGCAAATAAGTTCGGTAAAGAGGGCGACGCGTAAAAGCTTTTTGGCTGCTCTTGCTTTCCAATTAATTTGATGAGTGGCCGAGGCCGAGGGATAACATTTATCAGCACCAGCCCAGAAAGCAAGGAAAGACAATAGGAGCTTAAGGACCAAGGAACCCAAAGAGCTGCACCAGGCGGACAATGAGTGAGTGTTATGTAAATGACGCTATACAAAAGTGGAACAATGGAAGGAGAAAGAGGAAAAGAAGGCGGGACCGAAATACCAAAGTCAGATAAGTAAATGACAAACAGCAAAAGAAGGAGGTAAAGTCTCAAGGTGCACTCTTTGTAAGTTCCTCGAATTCTTTGCCCCTTTGATTAGCAAAAAGGCAAACGATAATGAAAGTGCAGATGAAATAATAATCGGAAAATGTTATGTTTTTCCAATCTTATTGTAAATATTGCATACCGTCCCTATTTATTTACTAGAATTCCCCTGATAAGCCACCTAGCTGCTAAGTGCAATTACCATTTCTGACTTAGTCTCCAAATATTTCTCACCACCTTCCGTTGTCCAGAAAATATTTAGTTGTATATTTTATCAACATTATTTTGGTGCCAAAAAGTTTTCAGCGCTGAAAACTTGATGGGCGGAAGCCAAAGAACTGCCTGGAACTAGAGAGGTATATATATGTGTATATAGAGCATCGTTTTCATTAAAACTTCTGACACACCGAATTTGTTGATGTGCCCCGCATTCGGCAAACTCCTCCTTCAGGCAAACAAACAAGTTCAGCCAGAACCAGGGAGTTGCAATTTGAAATCACACAATTCTGGCTGTAACAGCAAATGGCAAAAAGTCTCGCGTTCTACTACTTTATCTTTATAGTTTTATTTTTATTAATTGTTTTTGCCCTAGGTTGCTCTTGTTGTTTGGCACTTGTAGTTTGTTTGCGAAGCGAGTTTAGTTTTTGGCTTTTAGCGCCTGTTCGCCCCCACAAAAAATTACAACATGAGAAACAGAAGGGAAAAGCAGCAACACGAACAAGTGCGAAATGTTTGGCAACACTTTCGACGAGTTATGTTTCAAATGTTTGAAGGCGGGATGAAAGTTCAAAGGGCTGAAAGTTCGTGTTGGATGAAGCAAAGCGAAGGTTCAAGTTGAAGAGTTTCCGAAGTATTTAGTTTCAATTGTAAAGGTGAGAACCCAAAACAACAAATTATCTTCTTTAGTAATGTTTTTGATTTAAGAATAAAGCAATTTAAAATGACTTAAAGGGAAATTTATCTAATAAAGGTTTTAACCAATTTGAGAGAAACCTAATAGACAGCTAACTCATTTATTTATTTATGTCACTTTACGTAACTTAAATAAAGCGTTAAAGCTTATATAGCATACTCATTTTTAATTTCCCAGCCATCAAGTCGGCAATTAACAAACGTAAGTAATGCAGAAAGTCTAGGATTCATTTCCACTTCCGCTTCGCGCTCAACTCATTACAGTTTTACAGAAGTTTTGGGCGTCATCTAATTATGCAAAACGGCACATTCATTTGCAGAGAGTCGGTGTCCGTTCACATTCAGGTTGGCCTTAAGTTGGATTCATTTTAACAATGCCATTTAAAATTAATTTTCAATTAACTTTCGCGGCCCGGCCCGAGTCCGGCCATCTGCAGCTCTACACCGGAGACTTCGTCCGTTTCAACTAGCGCGGAGTGCTAACAAAAGTTTTGTGTGCTCGGCTTCATAAATTGAATTTTCCGCTTTTTGTTTCTGCCAATTAAGTCAATGGTCGAGAAAGTGAGGGCGGCACTGTGAGTGATACTAATTTCCACAGACACGAAGGCTACTTAAGTCGCCTGCCACCCATTCAATTTTTCCTGCCCCTTCTTCCGATGCGCCAACAAAAGGGATCCGAATAATGGAAATCCACGCGGTGGGGCTTTTCGTGGCTCGGGCTTTTTACATCCGGCACCTGCGTGACATTTGAGCTCAGACAGCGAGAGCAGGACTTAACCCTTGACAGCCGCAAAAATAACTGTTTGGAATGCATTTTACTTTCAAATGCCCCATTGGATTGTAGATGAGCGCGATAGTTGTTGCTGTACACTGGCGAATTTCAGTGGGTATTTTTAAGAAAGGTAGAAAAGAAGTTGCAGAAGATATTAATTCTTATTTTTAGTTGTTTTGTGATTTTAATTTAAATGTTAAAAATGACTTGTCCTTACAAAGAATTTAATGAATGGCTTAAAGTCTACGACATATATTATCACTTGAGGCTCTAAACGAAGAAAATCAATAAATCTAATTTAATTCAAAACCGGGTCAAATTTCTTAATGAATACATTGAATGTAAAGTGATTTTTGGAAGTGTAGTTTACAGCAAGCATCTGTAAATCCATACTTAGAGCCACTTCTACTCGAGCCCCATTTTTCTCCATCTCCAGCTGCCTTGTTTTATCGCAAGGCGATTTGAGCTCCATTTGTGCTGGCCATTCCCCATTGCCAGGATAACTTGACAGTCACTTAGCGGGTTCGCGTCTGGGTTGGGAAGTGGAGTGGAGTGGAGGTATCGAAGCACTCGAAGGTGTGTGTATCAAAGTAGCAGTTGAAAGTACATGGTCGAAATGCTTTCAGATTAAACTTGTCCGGCAGCAACACCTGTGCCCGCATTTCAAACCCACTTTTCCCCCTCAATGTTTTCACTGACTGACAGGCAACCAAGCAAAGCTGGATTGCACGAGTGCAGAGGATGCAAAGGGAGTTCACTGATTTCAACCGGGGAAACTTTGTCCAGTGCTCTTCCATATCAACAGATATGGTTGCCCCAGAGCCAAATGCTTCTTTCCATGACGAGAAACTTCTCTCCGGTGCCACAAACTTTTAATAGTCTCACATTTGAGTGTTCTAATCATATGCTAAACTGGCTAACGAGTCTCACTGGATATTGCTTTAGGTGTTGGCCAGAACTTCTTTGATAAATGAATAAGTTAGTTCTAATTAGAAAGTGGGGTTCACTGGGTTCAAGGATATATTTTTACTTATTACCTTTATCAAAGTTTGATTTTATTTTTCCTTTATAAATAAATGTATAAATGTAGCTCTTTTCGCTTACCTTGCCCAAATTGACGAAACCGTGATCCTTGGCGACTGCATCGGCCATGCCATTATCGCCGTTCGGTATGTGCACCGCCCAGGTGTGTGTATAGTGTCCGGTGATTTGATTGTTGCTCCCGGAGCTGCCCGATTGGCCGTACTTGCCACTGTTGGGCGTCAACTTGGCCCTGCCGCCCGTCTCATAGTCGAGGACATATGGCGGCAACACTGGCGACTGGCCATTTGGATCCACCTTGAGTGATGACGGCGGTGGTGCTGCGGGCGGAGATGAAGGCGCTGGGGATGGTGCTGCCGGTGATGCACCACCAGCTGATGCCGTTGCCACACTTCCGGCCACGAAACCGACATTTAAATTACATATAAAAACTACGGCACTAAATTGCAGAGCTAACAGCAACACAGCTTTCGTTTTCGCCAAGTGTCTGCTGCGGCTGGTTAATCTTTTGCTGTTGCCACTATGTTTCGTGTTGCATTGCGTTAAAAAACTAGTTTTGAATAAATTGCAATCGAAATTGAAATTTCCTATATCACATTCAATGATTGTTTGTTGTTCTTCATGCTCTGTGGCGGCTTTTCGCTCACAACTTCTGCCAGCATGTGGCCCTAATTGTCGAGCATTAAATTGGTTCCTTTTGCTTCTGTGTTTGTGGCTATTGCTGTTGCTGTTGCCGCTTCTGCTGTTGCTACTGCTGCTGTTGACGTTGCTAGTTGGCTGCCTGCTCCATCGCACGACGTCGTTTTTCATTGTGCGTGAGGATTTTTCCAATGGCTGTCGTTCGCGTTCCTCGAAATTCTGGCTGTGAGGGCCCCAACGTGTGGCTGCGATGCTGAGAATTACAGAAAAATATATATTAAGAATTAGTTATATTATTAATTATTTTTTGTCTAATAATAATTTAACAGTCATAACAAAAAAAAAAAAAGGATCAGAGAATTACTCTTAACAGATATATATAAAAAACGGTTGTTAGTGTTTTCATTTGAAATTATCAAATCAACATTTCTGAAAACTCTAGGTTCCTTATTTTCTCATAAGCCTAAGGTCATTATTCCCTAAAATGTGTTATTACTTACATATGTAAGTCCGATAGACATTTGAGTAGAACAAATTTTAAAATACCCAACTCACTGTAACTAGTTAATTATCCACAAGTCGGGTAAACTTAGGAATTTCGGTTTGCTCCCAAAAAAAAACTATTACTATTTATTTGCTTTTTGGATATATTATATTTGGTGTTTTTTAAAAACATAGTTTCCAAAATTAAGAAATCAAAATTTCTGTCCCCACAATTAAAGAACTTAAATATTTTTGTCGTTGGCCTTTTATAGGTCTTTGCTTGTTTTATAAGTGCATGTTTAAAAAGTACTGTTCAATATTTCGATCCATTTGTTGTCAAATTTCCATTATGTTTTTGGTCTCAGCATTTAGGGAAGTTATCACTTAGGACTGGACACAGCTGGTGTTCTCTGGGAGATCGCAAATGCCCTTCAGTCCGTTAAAGTACCTATCCCCGCAGCTGACCTTCAGGGCGCGTTGATGGCGACAGATATAGTAGTCGTTGCACCGCTCGGGCGAAGCCATTAGGAATCCATCGGGCTTACCGACGCAGGAAACCTTAAGCTGAACCTCGGATCCAGTCGACGAAATGCCCGCCAGTTGAGCCACTTCCCAGAGTAGACGGTGCACGGGGTTCCGGCGGACGGGATTACGGTTCGAGTGGGCGGCAGCCACCGCCTTTGAGACCGTCGGGCAGACAGTTGTTGTCTCCGACCCAGGGCATACGGTTGTTGTCGTTCGGCAGGTCGTTGTAGTAGAGGTTGTTGTTGAGCAAGTCGTGGTTGTCGGCGTTGTTGTTGAGCACGTCGTGGTTGTCGGCGTTGTTGTTGAGCAAGTCGTGGTTGTCGGCGTTGTTGTTGAACAAGTCGTTGTAGTTGTGGTTGTGGTCGTGGTGGTGGTCGTGGTTGTTGACGTTGTTGTTGAGCAAGTCGTGGTTGTCGGCGTTGTTGTTGAGCAAGTCGTGGTTGTCGGCGTTGTTGTTGAGCAAGTCGTTGTAGTTGTGGTGGTGGTCGTGGTGGTGGTCGTGGTTGTGGTCGTGGTTGTTGACGTTGTTGTTGAGCAAGTCGTGGTTGTCGGCGTTGTTGTGGAGCAAGTCGTTGTAGTTGTGGTGGTGGTCGTGGTGGTGGTCGTGGTTGTGGTCGTGGTCGTTGACGTTGTTGACGAGCAAGTTGTGGTTGTTGGCGTTGTTGTTGAGCAAGTCGTTGTAGTTGTGGTTGTGGTTGTGGTGGTGGTCGTGGTTGTGGTTGTTGTCGTTGTTGTTGGGGCACAAGTGGTTGTGGTTGTAGTTGTAGTTGGAGCCTCAGTGGTTGTGGTTGTCGTGGTTATTGGGGCACAAGTGGTTGTCGTTGTCGTTGTCGTTGTCGTTGTAGTTGTGGTTGTGGTCGTGGTTGTGGTTGTGGTCGTGGTGGTTGTGGTCGTAGTCGTGGTGGTGGTTGTGGTGGTTGTCGTTGTTGTTGGGGCACAAGTGGTTGTGGTTGTAGTTGTAGTTGGAGCTTTAGTGGTTGTGGTTGTCGTTGTTATTGGGGCACAAGTGGTTGTCGTTGTCGTTGTAGTTGTGGTTGTGGTCGTGGTGGTTGTCGTGGTAGTAGTCGTGGTGGTTGTCGTGGTTGTGGTAGTAGTCGTGGTGGTTGTAGTGGTTGTGGTTGTCGTTGTTGTTGGGGCACAAGTGGTTGTAGTTGTAGTTGTAGTTGGAGCCTCAGTGGTTGTGGTTGTCGTTGTTGTTGGGGCACAAGTGGTTGTCGTTGTCGTTGTAGTTGTGGTTGTGGTCGTGGTGGTTGTCGTGGTTGTGGTCGTAGTCGTGGTGGTAGTGGTTGTGGTGGTTGTCGTTGTTGTTGGGGCACAAGTGGTTGTGGTTGTAGTTGTAGTTGGAGCCTCAGTGGTTGTGGTTGTCGTTGTTGTTGGGGCACAAGTGGTTGTCGTTGTAGTTGTGGTTGTGGTTGTGGTCGTGGTGGTTGTGGTCGTAGTCGTGGTGGTGGTGGTAGTGGTTGTGGTGGTTGTCGTTGTTGTTGGGGCACAAGTGGTTGTGGTTGTAGTTGTAGTTGGAGCCTCAGTGGTTGTGGTTGTCGTTGTTGTTGGGGCACAAGTGGTTGTCGTTGTAGTTGTGGTTGTGGTTGTGGTCGTGGTGGTTGTGGTCGTAGTCGTGGTGGTGGTGGTAGTGGTTGTGGTGGTTGTCGTTGTTGTTGGGGCACAAGTGGTTGTGGTTGTAGTTGTAGTTGGAGCCTCAGTGGTTGTGGTTGTCGTTGTTGTTGGGGCACAAGTGGTTGTCGTTGTCGTTGTAGTTGTGGTTGTGGTCGTGGTGGTTGTCGTGGTTGTGGTCGTAGTCGTGGTGGTGGTGGTTGTGGTGGTGGTGGTTGTCGTTGTTGTTGGGGCACAAGTGGTTGTGGTTGTAGTTGTAGTTGGAGCCTCAGTGGTTGTGGTTGTCGTTGTTGTTGGGGCACAAGTGGTTGTGGTTGTAGTTGTAGTTGGAGCCTTAGTTGTAGTTGTGGTTGTCGTGGTTGTTGGGGCACAAGTGGTTGTCGTTGTCGTTGTAGTTGTGGTCGTGGTCGTGGTGGTGGTGGTGGTGGTCGTGGTTGTCGTTGTGGTGGTGGTTGTCGTTGTTGTTGGGGCACACGTGGTGGTAGTGGTGGTTATTACAGGGGCACAAGTGGTAGTAGTTCCTGAGCATGGAGGCTTCGTTGGTGGGGCGATAGTTGCGGGCCCGTTGCATGGCTGAGCGATACCGCTGTCAGACTGTTGCGCTACTGGCTCCGCCACAACGCCTTCGGTGCATCCAGGGTTGTAGGTCACGCAGCTGCGGGTCTTGAAGTCATAGAATTTGGGACAGGAGTATTCCGTGGCAATGCCGTTGTGGCACTCATAGAACCTGGAGCAACTGCCGGGCACCAGAGCCCGAATGCCATTGGCCTTGTTACGGCACAGGAGATTGCCCTGGCCGGAAACGCTAGCACCGCTGGTGGTGCTTGCAGAGACTGCAATGAGCAGCAGGGCAAAAGCTGTGGAACCAAAGATGATTTGTTAGCTCCAACTGATGGATTCTTTAGGTGGTGGTTGTTTTCGGTTACCGTATATATTCCTCATGTCTGCAGATGGTTCAAGTTCACGTTTCCCAGACTGAGAAAGTACTGTGGGCATTTGCAGCTACGGACCCCATTATTTATACCGTGCTAAATTTTCAATTTGCCAAAATATTCATTAAGAAATTGGCGAATGCAGACAGATACTGAATTATAAACAAGATCTATATCGCACCCGCCGTTATCACAATCAATGCAAGCTTTTGTGAACAAGTTATCAGTTTTACTTTTTTTTTAATTCGTTAAAATTTCTTAGACTCTTTGAACCAAATAGAACTATGTTAATATATTTACCACAGGTTTTTGTACAAAATCCAAACAAAAATACTAATTACAACTTTAATTTAATTCAAATTTCACAAATCAGTCAAGTGAACTTCAAATGTTAAAATTAGAGCACAGTTTATGGAATTCCTATACAAATTCTTTGGAAATTGTATATGGTCGCCATCTATCTCCGGGACATGTTGAATGTGTGCTCTTTTCATTTTATTTTCCTATACTGTTATTTCTTTTTTATTTAAAAGACGCTCGCAATTTCATATTGAAAATCAAAATTAAGTCTTTCATTTTATGTATTACAAGCGAGGGCGACACTCACATCGACCCGCCGACACGTGCATTCCTATCTTCTATTAAATTCCGGTTGTTTGATATTTCGCACTGCGAACTTCGATAAGCGGCAGACAGCTATTTTAGAAACAGTACTGTTTTCCCAAAATGTTGCACTATTAATTACATAAAGTTTTGGACATAAATAGAAAAATAACAGCTGAATCCTCAATTAGAGAGATAATTACCCCAAGCTTGCTAGCGGATGTTTTCTTCCCCCACCCAATTAAGCTAAAAAAATCGACTGTAACTGACACATCCCATTTGAGGTCGCCATACAAAACTTTTGGACTAATATAAAAGCCCAAATATGCCAGAACAGGCGGACAAAGGGAAAATATGCACACAAGAACTTTTATCTGCTATTAATTGGGGGAAGCAACAAAAGAAATATTGATTGCCACTTTGCATCGCTAGCGAGGAAATGACAAACGAAGGCCATGTGGAAGTTACCAAACTAAAATCCAGAATGGATTATGGCCCAAAGGGGGATCTGCTGGACAAAAGTCTGTATCGCATTGATTGTCACCCGTGGACAAGTTTCGATTGCAAATAAGAATCAACGCGAGGCTAGAGCCGATAGAAGTCTCGAAGCTTCCGAGTAATGCCACTGTCGAAATATGCCCATGACTGATGATGGCCAGAGGCCAGTCCATTGACGGGCATATTTCATCTATTGATAGAGGATTTCTGGATTTGGCCAGTCACTCGGCCAGAAAGTCGGCCGAAGTGGGGGCGTAATTAAAGCGAGTGACAGCGGAAATGCCAAGCAGAAGGAGATGGATAGCTTAGGGGGCACGAAGTGGGAGCTGTGTTGTTTGGACGGATTTGACGGGCGGCGACGGAAGCTGTTGGTGTGCAGTGTTCGGGCTATGGTAATCAATGGCTAAGTGGATAGGAAATTGAATTTTGTGTGGGGGCGACTCTGAATCGGGCAGAATCCAATGCGGAATGATTTTTCGTAATCTCGCAGCACTATTAGAGCTAGTTGATGGCGTATCAAAAAGGGTTTATCTATTCCGAAATGAAGGGTCTGATTTATGTTCACCAATCAAATAGAAACCAATTTAAAAAACTTATTATATTGACTTAAAACACGTCGACGAACGTTGTTAAGATTAAATTTGATTCAGCCATATGATGAAGGATTTTTAGGACTAAGAATGAAGTAAGTTTACTAACTTTTCTATACGCCTCCCAAGTTTCAAAGCGTTTATCTTCAGAAAGGTGAACTGATTGCATAATTCATAAAAAATAACTGATCAAAACTATACAAAGTAAAAGCCATACTTATTTGCTAAAGTGTAAACCACTTACTTTATTTGAGTCTTCTCAAGTCTAATTCACATTATATTTACTTGAGCTTTGAAAGTTCGAGAAGTTCGCATTGAAAATTCAACATTGAATTCAGCGTGCTGTAAAGGTAAAACTCTTATTAGAATTTCAAAACTGACAATGTGCATTTTTTTCACCGCTCACTTTCTGGGCAATGAAATGGTCTGTCAACATACTACTCCACCGCCTCTCTGATCCCATCGAAAGCCGATGCACATGAGTGCACAGGCCGAAGGAACTGTATGCAGGAGACCGGCGACTTCTTTACATTGACTGTGCACCTTTTGTGCTAGAACTTCCTTCCGCATTGAGTCATCGTCAACACCATCCACAGCACCCTGTCCCCTGTCTCCTGTCCCCTGCATCCCTCGTCAACAACTTTGACTCTGACTGACGGCATTTGTCAGTGGCAGACACAAAGTAATCATTACTTGGCGCACTTCCGCAGCTGCAACATCGCTGCCTCCTCCCAGGCCCACTAAGCGTATACTTAATAATAAGAAAATAAGTGCCATGTCAACGTAGGCGTGGCAGGGGGCAGAGGATTCGTTGGTTGGCTTCCTTGCTCGCTCACATGCTAACGAAAAGTGGAAAACGGTGTCAAAGTCACCGACAAGAACAGCACTAGTTGGCTGATGAAAGTTGCAGGGCGAGAAAAGTGGCAGCGATGAGTTGAAAGTGTATGGCGGAACAACACCAACAACAACGCGACCTGACAACTTGAGACAAATTGAAGCGTTGTTTCTCCTTAAAAGAAGAGCGTGGCAAGATGGACCTATGGGGTCGAAAGAGCTTGACAACCAATAAAGTGCTGAAACTAGTTAAGTTCCTGTTGGAGAATTCACAAATAAAGTAAAGTGAATAGGAACGAATAAGAATTTGTGCCTTCTAAAGAATAGATAATTTAGGTTAACTATTACTTTTTTAACTCCAATAATTTATTGAAAAGGAAACGTGTTACACCTCTTCTATGTTGTGGTCTTAACTTCCCACAGCCTCATCTCTAAGCCAAAAGGTAAAGACTCTCCACACTTTTTTGTCTCTCTTTTGTATTCCAAGCAATTTACTTAACTCCCGGCTAACATACCTAAGGTTTTCGCATCATAAACTGATCTATTTTCATTCAGCAAACAAGGCTTGGGCATTCCGGCAAAAAAGCTGTCCGCCCACAAACACACCAATCAGAAATCACTCAAAAGCCCAACAGAAATCCTTAAATTGCTTAAGCCACAAGCGGCAGGAAGAAAAGAAAAACAAACGCTAGAAAATAAAAGACCACAGCATAGAGAGATGACAATGCCAGGCATCGGTTTAACAGTCCTTGAGGCATTTTTTGGGCAAACAGCTCGACACTTGGCTGCTGCTTTGGCATCCTTTGTGGTTGTTTGCCCTGCGAGTGTTGTTAGTTCCTGTGGGTCGCCGTTCTATGCAAAATGCCATGTCAAATGCAGCACTGAAAGGGCTAAAAGCGATGGCTCCGATACCGGGATAAGGGTGAACTCGGAAGCGGGGAAAGCGGAACGAAACACATTAAGCCAAGGAAGGGTCTGCTGCTGCTTCAGTAAGGAAAAAAAAGAAGCTGCCGATGAAGCAGCGGTAGTTAGAAGCTTAAAAAGGCTACAAAACTGCAGGCGAGAAATCAAAAGGCGGCAAATACACTGTGGAAAAAGCGGATAAGAAACTGCATTTACATTCTGCACTTTAAAAAGGTTTTTCTTTTAAATGGAAAACTTAAATAAATTATATGTTAAGTGAACTTTTAAGCGTTCATATAACAATATTTGAATTACACCTGCATGTTCTTAGCTCTTACATTTAATAAACACATTGGGTCATTAGTTTACTTATCTAATTATTAACTTATTATATCTATAAATGAATTTCCTTTTCCAGCGTTGAATCATAAATTTTTATACCCTTGCAGAGGGTATTTTAATTTTGGTCAAAAGTGTGCAACGTAGTGAAGCAGACATCTCCGACCCTATAAAGTATATATATTTTTGATCAGGATCGCCTTCTGAGTTGATATAGCCATGTCCGTCTGTCCGTCTGTCCGTCTGTCCGTCTGTCCGTCTGTCTGTCCGTCTGTCCGTCTGTCTGTTTCTACGCAAACTAGTCTCTCAGTTTTAAAGATATCGAATTGAAACTTTGCACACACACTTCTTTCTTGCACGCATTATATATGTCGGAACGGCCGGGATCGGCCGGAAATCCATCGGAAATGCCATAACTTAAGTGTTTTTGAAGTTAGGAAGTTAGGATTTGCTGTGGGTTTTATTTTTGACCAATCAATCCGACCTACCAAATTTCATAAGGCCGACTATATCCTATAGATGCCATATAACTGAACGATCGGAAATGCCATAACTTTGGTGTTTTTAAAGTTAGGAAGTTGGGATTTTTTATGAGTATTAAGAATGCATCATATGAATAATTTTGGAGAATATAATTTACAGAATATTCTGCAAGGGTATATCAACTACGGCTCCACCGGAAGTTAGCTTTAATTTCTTGTTAAACTATTTTTTGTTTCAGTGAAAGATAAGCTCCTTTGTTGCTTTGTTTGTGTGAGAGCATTTGTCTTTTGGCCTCGCTTTTAATGTGTTTCGTGTGGTGGATTGAGGTGAGCTGTTTGTGTGGTGGCTTGTGTGTAGTAGTTTTTCGCAGTTTTCTGCTGGTGGCTTCACTTGTTTAATGATAGTTCCACAAAGGCAAATATGCTCTCTCTAGCAAGCGCTGGGCTTTCAACCCACCCCCTCCCCCCTAAACCACCCACTAAGCCAAGCCAAGCTACCTTTTTTTTCGCGACCTGCAACTGGAGCGCAAAGTCAACAACAACAAAAACCTCGGTTAGTGCCCGGCTGGAGACTAAAAGAAGGCTAGAAAGGAAAGAGCCCGGCCAAACAAAATGCCTAACAAAAAGCCATGGCAAAGGGAAACCCCGCAAGGGTGAAGCATTTTTTTGCAGCGTATTAGCACACGATCGCCAAACAAAAGGTGTCGCATACGTTTTTGCGGCCAGCCAAATGCATGGAAACGCCATTTGCCATTTGCACC